CTTCATGTAGTTGTAATCTAAAGTTCCAATAAGCAGCTGAAGCAGGAGTTGTAATCTAAAGTTCCAATAAGCAGCTGAAGCAGGAGTTGCAATCTTAATTGTAATTTTGCTATAATCTAAATTGTAATCTTGCTGGAGTTGTAATCTAAAGTTCCAATAAGCAGCTGTAGATTTGTTGGAGTTGTAATCTAAAGTTCCAATAAGCAGAGATGATAGCTTGTTTCATATTATTTTAAGTCTTATTAACTCTAAGGAATAAAGTTTTATGTTAATTTTTACATCTTTGCATTATATCTTGCATCCACAATACAGATTACAGAAAGGCAATAACTCATGTGTAGAGATAACTTCTACGGGTGAGCAGTTAGTAACAAATAAAATTGCAATTTTTGTTTTTATTTTTAAAAAATCCATTAAAAAAAGCAATATTCATTTTACAGCAGTTATAATTTATGACATTGATTCTAAAATTACATCAGTATAATTATACATTAAAAGCTGCAACACATTTATATTTTGTAGCAACAATAAAATATTTATGCATCCTTTGTAATTTGAAAATATTATACATATTTTAGCTACTTTATATCAATTTCCTTCCCTTTAACATCTTTTCAAAGTTTGTTTCAATATACAAATCAATATTACAAAGTTTAACTTCTGTTTTTTCATGTCTCAAAAGCATAACTTAAGACATATGTTAGTTTTATATACAGTCAAAAGTCGTTAATCCGAACTCGTCGGGACTTCGGCGATTCCGGATTATAGATCATCAGTTTAAATCTGGTAATATGGCATGCAGAAATTATAAAATTAAAAATATGAAACCGTAATTTATAAAATAAAGAACAATTATGATCTAAAGGGTATCAAAATTTACAAAAAGAAAAAGCTTAATATTTATTTGTTTAATAAACATTTCTTTCAATGTAAGTTGTTTAAGTTGCTTCGTTTTATGTAATAATACTTTCTCTTTAATTCTATAAACAGACATAATTTATTGTTCAGTTACAAAGTTCCGCTGTTCAAGTCCTATAATTGCTGTGTCGAGAATACCGACTAATTTGTCAATCGAAATTTTTTTGTTTTCAATAACCTCTGTGTCACTTTCTTCACTATCGGAAGCAAATTATAATGATGAGGAATTTGATTTAAATCATATCAAAGACGGAATATATCGAGATGAAATACTACATTTAGTAAGGTATTATAAGCCAAATAAAATGAAAACATCTGCCCTGAAGATAAAGATAGTGCTGACAGATCAACTTCCAATTCATTACACGCCGCTGCATCTTACTTTGTAAGGGTCTTACTTTGAAAAGCTTGAAATCTCATGATATTTATGTGTTGATTGTCGTTTTATTGAAAGGCATTCAAGATATCAGAAAAAATCCACAATATTTCAGTATTATTCTCTTCTTAGTTAATAGTCACTTTACTGAGAACTTGTAAATGTGAAACGATACTGAGAGCTAATTAAATGCTCGCAATACAAAGCAGTTTGAATATCAGAATCTGTTGCATAGGAGCTCTTTTGTAACAATGGTATGACATTCGATTGCCATACAACATACCCAGGATCGAATTCCATGGTCATTATCATCTTCAAGGGTATGCAAAACTCATCACTGCTGCACTTCTCATTGGTGCTAATAGATGGGACATGAATAAGCAACTACATACCTAGCAGCACCAAGCAGGCATACCACCACGTGATCACAATAAATGAAATTAATAGATTAAGAATCAGCTATGTAATACAAAGAATAAAAAATTCCCCATGAACCATGAATAGTCCATTTATAACATTTCTTTCTGAAAGCACATTTATTAGCCAACAACTCTTTTCTCAAAGGATTTTTTTTTTTTTTTTAAGAGAAATTTCTGAAAAGAGTCATGAATGCACTCTTTACCATTACTATGATGTCTACCGAACTAGACAGATGACATTACTGTTCAAAAAACAGGTTCAACACTCATACTAAAATGTTTAAATCCATATTTTTTCTCACAAAAAATACTTTGGATTAAAAAATTCATTAAAATGTAATTTCATCAGATTCATTAGTAATACAGGTTATATTTTGGTTGTCGATAGTACAGTAGTACAGGTTATGTTACAGTTGTTAATAAATAATGAGTTTAATTCCCCTTTGGTCAATTTTCCTCAGGCGGCACAGTATTTGGAATATTTTTATGGAATGATTTAGTCCTTTTTGCTTCAAAAGGTTGTATCTCATGTCAGTAAATTTTAAGGAATAAAAATTATTAGTACAAAGCTTGTTCCATGACCACTCACCGAAATTTAAAAACATCACACAGAAATATGTGAATAGCATAATATACAGGTTGAAGAAACCCAAAATTCCTCCCCCCCCAGGGTTGTTCTAAAGGTTTGGCAACAAAATACGTTATATATTAATGTATATAAATCAGACATGAAACTGTGGTCACCCCAAACAAAAATTTCCCAACTCACCATTAAAAATGGGGGCAATTTCAAATCAGTGTTGATGTGGGAAATACACATTATCATGAAAATGCAATTTCTCCCACCACATTAGCTATGTGGCAGATTTTAGATACAATAAAAATTTGCATTCTTTGCTTATCAGATTTCGCTCTGACTTCCTCCTCCTAAATTGAAGATGAAAGGGGATAGATGCAGGCCTGCAAATGAAGTCCAAGAGGCATCGTAGATTGTGCTGAACACTCAAACAAAAGATGACTTCATAAAAGCTTTCCAATCATGCCAACTGTATATTAAGATTGATATTTACATTGTAATAGGAAGTTTTTTACAAATCATGAGAAAGAATCAGATGTAATGTAAATTAATAAATGATTTAAAAAAAAGAAATTTCACAATCGTTTGGGTACAACTTGTGGTCACAACAAACAAGTTTTGTTTCTCAGTGTTTTTAATTTTTCATTTAAACTTGCAGAAAGAATTCCATATCACCCTTATCAAGGTTCGTAGCCACATTTTAGTTAAGAAAATAAGCACTTATAAGCACATTTTAAGAAAAAAAAAATAAGTACCTGTCTAATTACATTATACACAACAGCATAACCTTAAAAGAAAAATTAGACTTGTAATTTAAAATATGAGAAATTCAGTATTTATTAAGAGAGAATGAGCATTATTCAACCATGAGAAATAATAACATTCTTTTTTTCAAATTTTAAATAACAGTTCAATTTACAGAACTAGTTTACAATGAGAGAAAAAAAAAACTATGCAGAACTTAATTATGTTACAAGATTTAATGATGAAATTTCAGTTCAAAATAGAGAAAATAAATAATAATAAGCCATATTTATTATACTTGCTTGGCACCTAAAAATAAATACAATTTATTTTCCCATTCATATTAATTAATATTTAAATAATTTAACTTAAATCAAAGTTCTGAACATTTTCTAAATTTTCATTGTATAACAGTTTTCTCTTAACAGATATTGCAAGCAAAGTAATTTAAGTAAAAATAAGTAAAAAAAGGAACTTTTCTGAAATCAGAAGCAGGGAAATTGCTTCATACAGTAATCCTTTAACAGTAAAAAGCTTAACTAACTGGCATACTCGGAAATTGCCAAATATCTGAAAATTCCGGATAGTAACTGGTAAAAGAGGAAGGGGGATAGATTGTAGCCGTTCTTTAGGTTTTTGAGCTAAATAATACTTTTGACATTTCGATATGTGCATCATATAAAAAATAGCCCAACGGAACTGAAAAATAATCTTAGGGCAGTAAAACACATCTCTGTAAAACGCAAACGCTATTGCACAATTTTAATCTCTGCCTGAAACGCAATCGGAATTGCAAGAGCCCATATTTCGTGCAATAAATGCGTAAATAAAGCCTCAATTCTTCTGCACATGATATTATGCAATCGAATCAAGAGCTGCCATGTGGCATATTTATCACTCAGCAGGACACGTTGCACTCCGCACAACATTCCTGCCATACTCATATTGATTAATAGAAAGATTTACCAATATGGGGTGTTTTTCATTCTAATTTTGAACAGACTGCATTAAATTTCCGGACTAGAATGATTCTTCGCTTGGGTTGGTAGATCGCAGAACTTTTAGTCCTATTCAATCCAGGTTGGAAAGTGACCAAAAAAAAAAAGTCTGTTGCTTGCTTTGCTGCGAACTGTTAACGATTTCAATATACGAGATTTTGCAGAGAAAGGGGAAGATCCCCCCCCAAAACTTCCGCACTGTATAATGCATTGCCCCCCCCTAAATTTTTTTTACTACTCGATTGCTTTCACTTCATTTATGCCATTCCGAATATATTATTCCTTAGAAAACTAATCTGTGTTAAAACACACTTACCCATTTTTGAAGTTTATCTATACTTCAGCAGTTACTGCAAATATATTATTATAAATATTCATACGTATGCTTATAATATAAGCATACTGATCCTAATAAACGCGAATATGAACTGACCATGTGGAACAAGAATGCAAATTATTAAAATCTTGATAGAAATTTAAACGCGTGTAGTATTGGGTGGGAGCAAAAGAAATGGTATGTACCAGAATTTTCTACCGCTTTCGCAATTCTTTGACCAATAGAACGACGTATACCTGTCTGTACTTGCGCGCACCAAAGGTTATGTTAATGCAAAGAAAAGGATGAAAGGCTATTTCTGGGAGTGTGATTCACCAACTGGCGTTCCATATAAGGAAGAAAAGTTGTTTATTTAGTTTCAGCTTTGGTACGGGGGAAAAAATGTGCGTTCATTAAAAGAAAAGCAATAAAAGCAAAAAATAAGCACTGAAAACAAAAAATATGTGCTTTGGAGGAAAAGTAAGCACCTATAAGGGCTTTTATATTTTATTTTCAAATATAAGGACTTATAAGTACTTATAAGGACAGCTATGAACCCTGCTCATGTATCATCATTAGTATATAAAATGTTTCATACATCAAGAATTAATAATTTCAATGCACATTTTTCAAAATTTTCTTAATATCTTACCCATTGAGCGTATGTTCAAATAAGTGCATTAAACCATCTTTTGAAACAACAGTCATAAGCAGTGGCTAGGAAAAAGAATTAGTAATTTATTATGCTTGCAATAATTTAACTGAAATCAATATATCATCAACAATATAATTATTGAAGAAAAATACATAAAAGACTCTTTTTAAAAAATTTAAGTGTATTTTCAAATTTATAGAATTAATATTTTTTTCAGAGATAAAAATCAAGGAGGAATTTAATTAAAATTTTTAAAAAATCCTTAATAAGGCCAAGAAATAACATACAAAATTTTAAAAACTATAAATATATTTTATAAAAAAGAAAAAGAAAATTTTACCATATTCTTTCTGCATATAACATCTATATTTTCTGGCTCGTCTGATAGAACAAATGATGCTACAGCTCTTCTGTTATTGCTTGTGCTCAGTTGCCTAAGCAAATAACAAAATATTTGTCAATACACTGCATACAGTTAAAACGTTGATTATAAGCTTAACTCACAGAAGAAAATCAGGCAACAGATATTTTGCACTTAAAAATATCAATTATTTCTTATGTTTTTAATCTCTTTAATATTTAAGCATGGAAAGAAACATAAATGACCAACTATAGCTTATTCTTTTATAAATATGCAACACATCTTGATTAAGCATTTAATAATCCTGTATCATTATAATAAATCCTCTCTAACAGAAATACACATAGTTCTAGATTGTAATAAGCTGAAGCCACATCATTTTCACTAAATTTCAGCAAAGATGAATACTGAACAGAAAATAACTCACTAATGTTCAATATTAGTGTTTACCATGTTCTTAGAAATATTTGTTATTTTCAGAGGTGTGGGAGATTTCATTGCACTTTTTTAATCTCAATTTTTTTCATTGCAATATGAAAAATGAATTCAATAAAGCAGCCCTGTTGCTTCCTCCCCATTAATTATGATTATCATTCAAGACATAGCACTTAAGAAATTGTTGATAATTACAGCAAAGCAGAAAATAAAACAAATACTCCTCGGGACTTGGTGATTCTGGATTTGGGATTTTCCCGAATATTAGATCATCAGTTTAACACTAGTAAGATGGCATGTAGAAATTATAAATTAGAAATATGAAATAATGAAGCACTTATGATCTAAAGGGTAACAAATTTTACAAAAAAAAAAAAAAAAAAAAAAGCTTAATATTTATTTGTTTAGTTTATTACACGTTTCTTTAATTGCAAGTTGTTTAAGATGCTTTTTTTGTGCTAATATTATCTCTTTAATTCTGTAGACAGATATAATTTCATATTCAGTTACAAAGTTCCATTGTTCAAGTCCTGTAATTGCCGTGTCAATAATTTCACTTAACTTGTAAATCGAAATTTTTTCGTTTCCAGTAACCTGTCTGTCACTTTCTTCACTATCGGTAGCAGTATTTTCTGGATCTAGAACCATACTACAGATATCGTAGTTCGTTAATCGTTTTTCATTGCGATATTATCTTCATTTATTACCGCTTTTCCACATTTCTTCAAAAAGCCCACTAACTGGAATATTTAACCTTTGGTTTGCAATATTCGAAAACCTTCACATTTGTGGTTATCATATTCATCAACCTTACTACAAAATATGCTAGATGGCCATAAATTATGCCAAGCACTTTTCCAGGTACTATCCGGAATGTCATCGCAATGAAAAACTTCCGATTTATCATCTTCATTTATTACCGCTTTTCCACATTTCTCAAAAAGCCCACTAACTGGAATATTTAACCTTTGGTTTGCAATATTCGAAAACCTTCACATTTGCGGTTATCATATTCATCAACCTTACTACAAAATATGCTAGATGGCCATAAATTATGCCAAGCATTTTTCCAGGTACTATCCGGGGACATGTCCTCCCACAGAACAGATTTTACGCTAAAATATTTAAAAAAATTCTTGAATAGTTTTGCCATTATTCAAGAAATTTAACATGGATTTTAAAAATTCTACTTTATGTTTCCATTTCAGAACACGTACTATTCCAATATCCATAGGCTGAATGATTGACATGTAATTTGGAGGAAAGAATAATATGGACACAATGTCTATCACTAAAACTTTAAGTGAAATATGAGCTGAATAGTTGTCTACAATCAGGAAAATTTTTGCGTTATCAATTAAACAAACTGAATTCTGCCAATCCTCGGGCATGTTTTTCAAACCAATTATTCATTAACACTTGTGTCACCCGTGTTCTTCTATTTGCACGATATATAACGGGAGTCTTTATTCCTTCAAATGCTTGAGGTCATGTATTGTTTCCAACTATAAAACGTTTACACTTGTGTATTGCTGCTGCATTTGTGCATGCAAAAATTGCTAGTTAACTGATTAGCCGCTGGTGTTGCATTGACGCAACGGTCAAAATAAATGCGTATATAATTATAACTACCTAAGATATTTTATACCAGCAGATGATTTTGTTTGTGTAGGGAATATTATTAAGATTATTTCTGTAAAAAAAATTTGCCTTCAACAATCATTTTGTTTATAATAATTAATCTCATACTTTAAGCAAAATTTTCGACCGGTATTTTTGCTGAAAATATTTAACGAAAGAATCGCGGTCTTTATGAGTGATCTATTTTTAGTCAAGGTCACCGTTGATCAGAACATTACATCAGTCAGATGTTTATAGTTGTGTTGGGAAGGAAGGGAAAACAGGTGTTGCGTTGACGCAACGTAAGCAGGAAACGGGTAGTCAATCTCCTTTTTCACTCATTCCTTTTGATGTTCTGGTTCATGTTCTAGTTTTTTAAAAATGCCTAGAACGAGGTATCTTACATTAGAAGAAGCCCTTCAAAGATTTTTTGATGAAGAAACATATGATGATAATGTTAATAATGACCAGAGTGAAACTGATATTGATGTTGTTCCCCCCAGAAATTGCAGAGGCTAGTGACGAAGAAGAAAGGAATGGCAATGTTTTAAATAATGATATTTTACCAAATGATACTGCTGGGGAAGTTGAAATTCACGTATGAAGTAAATTTCAGCCTTTTAAAAGCAGTTATAGTCATACTAAAAAGTTTTAAAAAGCAGAAGATTGAAATCTTGAAGTGGATAGGAAAAGAACTCTTAGTTATGTCTCAGGAAAAACATGAAGAAAGAGATAGAAGAGAAATTATAAAAGACAAAACACAAGGTAAAACTAGTGCACAGATTTTCGATTTCCTTTTTGGTTTAGACATTTACTCTCTTGTCGTTGAACAGACAAATATATATACTCAGGGAAAAAAAAAAAAAAAATGCCCAGAATTTATTGCATCTGAAGCCTACATGAGAAGATTTATTGGAATATTATTGCTTACAGGATATCATTCTTTACCTCAAGAAAAAATGTATTGGTCTTTTGATAAGGATATTTCTGTTCCTGTTGTACGAGAATTGATATCACGTTTGCAGTACAGGAATATGAAGCAGAATTTGCATTTGACAATAGCCAAATTGACAACACTGATAAATTATATGAGACGAGACCATATCTAAACTTACTAAATATCACCACTTTTTACTACTGGAAATATAAAGTCTGTTTTAGATTTCAGATGCGAGAATGCATTATTCCTCTTGCAAACTCCTATTGAGAGTGTAGAATTAGGCAGAAATAGATCAACAACACGAAGACCTAATAAATTCAGCATTCAAAAACCATTGCATGGAGATGGTAGACATTTTATTGTAAAGTCCGTTGATAACAAAAGACTTTGTTGTAAAGAGTATCATAGCCAGACTGTTTACAGATGCAAAGTATGTAATGTAGCTTTACATCATGATTGTAATCAAGCTTTTCATGCTGGAATCTTTCAAATGAAATAATCTGTATTTGTAAAAGAAATACAATGTACATTTTAATATTAAATTAATTACAAGTAAAGTGATTTTTAGATTTATAAAATGTTTTACAGCTAAAAAGTAATCCTGCGCTCCACTCAAAAGAAACATCACACGAGTACAATCCTACTCACTAAACATACGTAATCTTATTCCACTGACTTTGCGCGAACGTAACACTCACTTTTTCCACAGGTAAGAGCATTTTTTTTTTATTTTCAATGTAAATTTATGTTATAAATGCTTAATTTAAATATTTGTTATTATTTTCATGAGAAAAGAAACATTCCTTGTAGTTTTGGTGGTTAATGAGTTAAGCTTTAGAATCTTTGACACGAGTTGGAGCCTTTTCTGTAGAGGCTGCCAAGGTATTTTGCAATACATATTGTCAGAAAAGACTAGTTTCACCACCGTTGTAAATTTCTTCTAGAGATAACTCTTAACTATTGATGAATTCAATGAGTTCATCTGTAAATATTTCAAGAGCTTCAGTATCAGCTGAAGCTTCTTCAACTCAAATTCTTAATTGCCTTACACAGTGGTGATTTTTAAATTTGGTTAACCAACCTGTCAAATATGTGCACTCAGTTTTTAAGTTCATTTCTATCAGTGAAATATTTTAGCTTGCACCATTAGCATTTGACTCGTCAATAGCACGCCCTCACTACGACGCTGTCTAATCCATTCAATTATCACTTTGTCATGATCTTCACTTTTAGCATAACAGATAATTTTTCTGTTATTCGTTGAGAGTGAGGTGTCTGAATTCATAAAAAATTCAAAACGTTCCTTTTTCAGTTTTCATACACAGTTGACTTTCCAATGCCTTAGTTCTCATATAATTTTGAAAGGGTATTTTTGATATACCTTTATCCATTTTTTGCAGAAATTCCACCGAAAGCTACTTTCGCTTTGTAGATCCTGTTGCAGCTCCAGAATTAGAAACCCTTTTAGACATGATCGAAAATTGAAACTTTAGTTTTCATGAAATTGCTGTAATAAATCCAGCCTGAAAAAATAATTGATCTGGATCAAATCAGAAAGTTAAGGAACAGCGCAATCTACTATATTGGCTGAAATTCCCAGGAATCAGTAAAACATAATTTTAGCCTAGCTTAATAGTGTCTGGAATACATTATTGGCTATGTATCATGATACTAGTGATGAAAGACAAGTTGTTTCGCTAAATTTTGTCTTGCTTCTATCGCGCACTGAGACAATTAAACCTGATTGTATTAACTTAGTTATTTATTATACGTATGTCTATTTCTTACACATGCTTAAGGCTTATCTGAATCCTGAATAAATAAATTCCTACATATACGGCTTATTGAGTGCCGGCTCTGATATTGCCTGATGCAGCCTCTGCAGATCCTAAATTCTGCTAGCACCTCCGTAAGTTCTAAATTTTTGCGGCCCCTAAATTTTGGATCCCAGTGTTTTCCCTAAAAATATTTTCATCCTTTTATTTTTTTGTTTGGTGCATCTTTAAATTCCAAACATCTTGTCTTCCCTAAATTCTGCCACCCGTGCGGGTGAACTCTGGTTTTATGTGATTCTGGGTTTATGTGAAAAAAAAATCAGTTATTGTTAATTTAAATAGCACTAAATGTAATCTTTCGGCCAATGAGTATCATTAACAAAATCTATTTTTAGCATATGGTAAGAAATTTTTGTTAAATCTCTCCTCCTCGGTATTTCTTAGTGCATTATGAAAGAAAAATGTAATAAATAATGATTCAGCAGGTTGGGGTCAGGGATATAAAATATTAGTAGGCATAAAATTAACGATGTTTCTAATTTGAATGTTTCGGTTTGAGATGTACGCCAAGCAGGTACGCAGCTAAGGAGCCAAATTACTGATTACACAAATAATTTATGCTGAATTATTGTTTCTTCAATAATGAAGTATTTATTTAGTGCTTTAGTGGCAAAAGGTAATTAAGAATCGGGACTCTACACATGTCTTATCTACTGGGGGGGGGAATCAAATGCACATGTGTAAAGCATTTAAAAAAAAAAGTTGTTGCTGGTTTTGAGTTCGGGATTTCAGATCAATAAGGATATTGGACATCCGGATCTCGTACTTTGTACTGTATCACATTAATCAAAATGCTTAATATGGAATTTTTCAGATTTCTTTAGCGAAAATAAATTTTTTAAACTAGATTAATACATTTCAACATAATCAACTATTATACAGTATCATAAACTAAACAAAATGAAAATTTATATAATTAAGTATGAAAAAATATCATACACTACATACACTGAACACACAATTATCCATGAATTATCCCACAAAAATTTTCTCAGATTGGTGCTTGAAAAAGATAAAAATCTTTTATACTTCAAAAGAAATAATTGTTGATGCAAGAATTCTTATTGCTATTATCTGAAATGAAGTTTAGAGAACGCTTTTCCCTGATATTTTTAGGCATAACCATTCCATCAACGAAGAGATAACAGTACTGGGCTTAAGTGAAATTAATTTTGGTGCTCATGAATTTGAAAACATAATAAAAGACAACACAAACATGTGGATGAAGAAAGACAACAGCAAAGATATCTACGAGATCTTATCAGATTAAGAAATTCTTGATGAAATGTTTAAAGAGAAGTCAGAAGAAAAGCATAAATAGGATTATGCAGACAAAAATGATGCAGCAAAGGAGACCACAATGGACAAGTGTTACACCATATAAGTGAATAAATTGAGTTTGAAATTAATGACTTGTCAGTTTGCACATTTTTTACCTTTCTGCCAGAAATAAAAATGTCAACATGACCTTTGGGAAAAAGAGTATAAAAATATTTCCAAAGAAAATAAATAAATGGATAATATTAATACTATTATTATTTAATCCTTATATTAATATAAATTCCTTTAAAGCCTCCAAAAGGCTAATTTTTTATGATCCTAGAAGATTAATTTTAGAGCATCATCTTTGAAATATTTGCATTTACTGGTTACAAGTGCATATTCATAGATTAATTAGCATAGATAATCAGGAAACATAGGTGTGTATGTATTAAATATATTCTGCTGAAATAATTCAGATAATTCTCACCATGCACTTATTACTCTATCACCCACAGCTGCAGACAAAAAGTATTTACTTGGCTCTTCTTCATTATTGACAGGCAATAATCGGAAAACTTCAGTAGCATGGCCACTAAACGTCTAACAAAAAAAAAAAAAAAAAAAAAAAAAAAAAAAGGAATACTTTTATTGTTCACATACTTATATTTCAAATAAGATTTATTTTTTATATTACAACATTAGTCTTACAAATGAATAAAATTTACATACAATATTTTTAATATTTACCATAATAATTGTCTTTTCTTTGATATTCCACCACTGTATGGAACTGCAGGAGGAAAGCAAATTGTTTTCATCCACAACACAAATAGAATAGACAGCAGTTGTACCTGCTTTCCATTTCCTAAAACGAAAACAAAGCTATTTAAAAACTATTTTCTTACATCACATTTTAAAATGCCAAAACTGAAACATTCTAAAGAGAATCGGTGAGGGGGGAAGAAAACTGCAAGCAACCTTTGCATTAAAGCATACATTTTACAATTAAAAGGCTGCATCAAATGTATCAGTAAAAAGAATTACACTATTTATAATCCAAAACCTTCTCTATCAAAAAAAAAAGAATCTACTAACATACCACAGGAAGAGTATATAAGAATAAAATTTTTGTTTCATTTAAAAAAAAAAAAAAAAAAAAAAAAAAAAAAAAAACCTCATTCCACATCTATATATATTTTAAACATTGGTTATTTTATTTCTCAAGATATTATTAAATTTTATTCACAAATAAGATTATATGACTAAAATATGTTAAAAACCTGAGCTTCCCTCTTAATTTAAATGTTAATATGTTAAAAATGCAAAATAATATTTCAGCCATCACTTATAACAAAACAAAAAATTTGAAAAGAATTATTTTTGCATACTCACGTCTTAATCTTTCCCGTTATGACATCCCAAATGATAATGTGTTGGTCATTTGAACAGCTAAATAATGAATTAGTAGCACCATACCAACATACATCATTAACTATGCTGGTATGACCATTTGACTGAAAAATAAACATAAATTCAAGTTACACTTAAATGTAGAGTTATTCACAAACATAACTTTTATAACACAACATAATCTACATAAATCAGTTTATCACTGTTGTGAAGTTCAGAACATTATTCTCTGTTCTTAAAAACAATATTAAAAAAATCTTTAAAAATTTTGGCACTCCCTTATTTTTTAATGGACCCCACTTTTTAAATGCACCAAGGTGCATAGCAATAAATAAAAGTCCTAACAACCACTTAACTAGCTCATTTGTCACAAGAAGATTTGTAAGTAGAGCATGTGTTAACATACAGTGCATCCATTAAGTTATGGTGCACTTTTGAACGGTCACAAGAAAGCAACAAAACAAGATAGACATGCGAAATCTTCACCAAACAAAAGGAAAACTCTCCAAGTTTCCGTAGTAGAATGTGCAAGCATATGCACACACAGGTGATGATGCAACACTGTGAACTGCGAAACAGCAGATAAGACCATCCATGGCCATGCCAGTCGGGATGTGGGCCGTACAGAGGAAAGTTCAGTGTCTTCTGTGGCTTGTGAAATTCAAATCTGTGATCAAAGTGCAACGTGAATATCATGTACAACAAACTGCCATCATATAGGAATAACATTAATCGGTGGAATAAGCAGTGAAGGATACCGGCAGTTTGTTGGACAAACCTTGCTTTAGCAGGCCGTCGGTCAGTAACAAGTTTATAGAGGTTATATAGAAGAGTTACCTAAGAAGCCCTTACAAACTGCAGCTGTTGCACGCTATCAGACCGACGGATAGACCCAAACAATTTGCGTTTGCTACAGATATGCTTCATAAAATCGACAATGATAACAGATTTTTGCAGAAGATTGTGTTTAGCAATGAGACGACATGATTCCATGTTAGTGGACATGTTCACTGCCATACTATCCGAACATGGGCTGCTGAAAATCCTCATGCCTATGTAGAGTATGAATGTAACAGCTCTAAAGTGGGGTGGTGTGGCCTGGTGCACGATAAAGTGCTAGGACAATTTTCCTTTGCGAAGTAGATTGTGACGGCATGGATGGAGCCCACATCAAACGGCACTAAACAGGTATGAAACTTTAAGAAGATTTCTTTTGTTTCGTGAAGATTTCACATTCTTGTCTTGTTTTGTTGCTTTCCTGTGACCGATCGAAAGTGCACGACTTTATGGAAGCACTGTATTTTCCTCAAAAATACATTAACAATTTTTTATTAAGTGACATCTGATAATTACCTTGATTTACTGACATCCAAGAAAGAGGCACTTTACTTTATACTGAAATATGTGAAAATGGCCCAGAAATGAAATTACGTATCAATGAAAGGATTTGGAAATGAAACATGAAAAGTTGCAAGCAAAAGAAAAGCTCAGCACACAATTGACATCAAATAAATTGCGTGAAAACAAAATCAACTGTCATAAAAATATGATTATTGACTAGAATAATTTTCAATTTTACATGAGAGATATGTTCTTTATATTTTATCTGATAACCAAGTAAACAAATATGTGGCCAAGGAAATGAACAAAAGTCTGTCCATTCAGCAGAAAAATAACACCAGCAAGGTTCTAGAATAGTGAATATTTGGCAGGTTACGATGAGAAACAGGTTGAGTGCTATCTCGTTTCAGTTCTGAATAGAGTGGCAATCACACTCATGACAAAAATTATGGACCAGATACAAGAGGAAATGATCAATTACTTAGACTGTTGGTGAGATACATAGCATAGAAACTAAAAAAAAAAGAAGGGTATACTTCACTATAAATCATAAATTTTATTTTGTGCATATGAAATGGTTACACATACACAAAACATTGAAAGACTGTGGTGGTCCACTAAGTCATAAAATAAAATGCAACACGGCACTGCTGATCAACACCTTGAGTCCTATCTTGTGGAATTCATATGGCAAAAATCATTGGAAAAAGAAAATGCTTTTGATTACATATTAAAAGTAAATGACAAATAAACATGAACCTGGCAATAAGCTTGTCACTAATATGATGACGATGGAGAAAAGCAACCTTTTGCTATATAACTTAATACGAGATTTAATTTTCGACCCTACAGTCGTTAACACAAACCTTAAGATATCTGGCTTATCATTTTAACAAAATTGTATACTGCAGTCAAAAAGCAGTTCTAATCAAATTTAATTAATAGGATCTCCCACAAGATTACCTACATAAGAATACAGTTTTCGGAAGGACATTTTTTATCTGTTTGTTAAAAACTAACTGTCTTGAACTACCTGGAAAACTCAAATAACCAGAACATTTTTAATTCTAGAAACTACTCCTTTAGGGTAGGGGAATTGACGAACTTGTAAAGGTATTTTACCTTCATGAAGCATAATAGGATTATGACTTGGAAAAAAAAAAAAAAAAAAAACACGCTTGTCAAACATTACGATTTAGCACCAATAATGGATAACAGTAACATCAAAAACAATTTTCCTTGGTTTGTATACATGATTAATACTCAATAAGCTGGTTTAATTTTTGTAAAAAACAATTACGTTGGATCTTATTTATTAGTTTTCCCTTACATTTTGAAAAATAAAATTACTAAAACTTGGTTCCTGTCCTAAATGGAATGCCATGCAGTGCACTATTTATAAAATTATGAGATCTTTACATTAAGATATGTGTTAATGGGAACATGATGCAACTTTATTTGAAAACAGATAAACAATGATGATGCAATATGAAAATTTTGTTTTTCATGTGATATACTGAAACTTGTGTACGTTTTGATTACCTAACTAAAAATCTGGTGTGGGGATCACATGACTTGAAGTTGACATTGTAAATTGCAAATTCTGAAACTAAATACCAGTAAATTTTTATGGGAGTCAAACTTCTTATAATTTTATTTTTTCTAAACAAGTATAAAACTGCCAAATAAAAGTATAGGAACTGCAAAACCACATTAAAAGATAAATTTCATTATTTGTTATTATTATTTTTTTAGTTGACATTGCCAAAATATGAATATTTTTATCATTTAAAACACTTCTGTAATTGGAAGTATATGACTCTGACCAACAATTGCAAAAATAAAGGCCAAGTAAAATAATGGATATATATACAGTCAAAAGTCGTTAATCCGGACTCGTCGGGACTTCGGCGATTCCAAATTATAGATCATCAGTTTAAATCTGGTAAGATGGCATGCAGAAAATTATAAAATAAAAATATGAAACCGTAATTTATGAAAAATAAAGAAACATTATGATCTAAAGGGTATCAAAATTTACAAAAAAAAAAAGCTTAATATTTATTTGTTTACTTTATTAAACATTTCTTTCAATGTAAGTTGTTTAAGTTGCTTCGTTTTTTATGCGTTAATACATTCTCTTTAATTCTACAAACAGACATAATTTCTTGTTCAGTTACAAAGTTCCGCTGTTGAAGTCCTATAATTGCTGTGTCGAGAAGGCCGACTAATTTGAATTTGTCAAACGAAATTTTTTCGTTTTCAATAACATCTGTCACTTTCTTCGCTATCGGAAGCGAATTATAATGACGAGGAATTTGATTTAAATCATATCAAAGACGGAGTACATCGAGATGAAATACTACATTTAGTAAGGAATTATAAGCCAAATAAAAAAAAAATCTGCCCTGAAGATAAGGATAGTGCCGACAGATCAACTTCCAATTCATTGCGTGCCACGGCGTTAAAGATAAACAAAGGATATGCCTTTATCCATTTTTTGCAGCAATTCCACTTTTTGTTTAATGGACTTAGAAACATACTTTCGCTTTGCAGATCCTTTACATATTAGTAAATATATATCATAAATTCTATTTGACATAATCGAGAGTTCAAGCTTACTTTTATAAAATTGCTCTAACAGTCTGCAAAAAATAATAAGCCGAATCCAATTCGAAGATTAGGGAACAACGCAATCTGCAACATTAACTGAATTAGATAATTTTAACTTAGCTTATACCATCCGTTATACATTAAACACGCATTCGTAAATGTATTTTGCGCACACGCAGATTTGCAGCCGTAAAGGTCTTACGTGTTGACGCATGCGCAGAAAGTTTGTAGCTTTGAGGTCCGGATTATAGATCATTCCAGATTATGGGTGTCCGAATTAACGACTTATGTTTGATATTGCCCATCACAATAAAAAAAAGAAGTGCACAACTAGATGTTATAACAGTTTCATATACAAACTTTGAACAACTAGATGTTATAACAGTTTCATATACAAACTTTGAACATTCTATGGCTAATAGTTTTTTAGTTATGTGAAATACACACATACGTACCTACAGAAATTATGAAAAAACTCCTTGTGATTCCATTTTAACTCCATTTTGGTAAAATGTCCTTCATTCTATTTGTAAACACAGATGTCATGAAAAAAAAATAATTCAAATGGATTCGGGAAACGTGAAAATGGATATTTCCATTGAAATATGATATTTGACGTTTTTCACAATTAGACTTCTTTACCTCGTATATGGAAGTAAAAATTAAACAATTCTTTCAAATTTCAGTAAGAATGACAGCCGCAGGTTTGGCAAGATCTCTACAAATTTTCATAGACAATGAAATTTCATAATCAGATAAGATGTCTCAGGTACTTAAAGTTAATGAAAATGTGTCAGCTTTTAGGTTTAAAATGCATTTTTTCTTTGAAATTTTACAAAATAGTAAATGCAAACTTTTGATAGTCAAACTGATAATGAATAAGATGATGTTTTTATAATTTTACACTAAAATTTTCCTCCACTTATTTGGCTTTTCTACCATGAACTACATGTTTACATGCTCAAGGGTAGAGTAGACTTTAAGGTACCCCTTGTATTATGGTGAAGTTGTTGTTTGATTTATCGCCAAGTTGTTGTTTCATTTATGGTAGCCTGAGTATTTGAATGTTATGGAAACCCTATTGTGACGTAATCGGGTGCATGATTCTGGGAAATTTTGAATCATGGGATGTTTTGTAAGCATTTTTGTGGTGTGTGTTAAAACCGTTTAGTTGGATTTGAATGGGTTTGTAGGAAGAAAGGCTCAGATAGTCACTATGTGAAGCATTCGATCAGAAAGAGTACCTGGTTTGAAAAAAGTCATTTGAGTATGATTGATATTTTGATTTTTACGTGACTCTGGGTGTACGAAGCGAACTCGAAAATCATGGTAAGTGAATATTTGCTTTTGGTAGTGCTTAAATGCAGAACATGTTTTTCGTTTTTTATGTTATTTTATTGTTTGGTTGTTTGGTCCTTTGACTTTTTAAGTGAAAATATATTGATGTGTACATGGACAAAGTAAAGGGAGTGCGCAATGCAAATTTGTGCAATTCTGGGATTTTTTTTAAGTGAAAATAGGTCGACGTGTACATGGATAAAGTTAAAAGAGTGCACAATGCCATTTTTGTGCGCTTTTTTTTTTTTTTTAAGTGAAAATGGTTCGACGTGTACATGGATAGTCAAAGGAGTGCGCAATGCTATTTTTTTGCAATTCGGAGTTTTTTTTTCTTTAAGTGAAAATAAGTTGATGTGTACATGGATACCAAGTTTGTGCAATTGTTTGTTTTGTTATTTTGGCTTTGTGTAGCGGCGATTTTTAGCTCAAAAATCGCCGCTTCGCAAGCCAAAATAACAAGTCAAAGAATTGCACAAAATCGGTATCCATGTACCACCAAAAATCGCCTAGGGGTACCCTAAACTATACTTTTACCCATGCTCAAGTATTTGGAATTTTCTGTGTATCCTGCTTTTGACATTTCAAAAGTTTTCCAGATAATTCAGCTTTTACTATCAAAAATGATTAAGTATAATTTATATATAGTATACATATTTAAGCAAATCTGGAATATTCATTACAGGTTTTCCTAAAAAAATAGACAAACTGCAACAATATATCACTCTGTCTTTTTTTTTTTTTATAACAAACAACACAAGTTATATACTTTATTACAAGTTCCATTTAATTAGTGAGATGAATATTTATTTAGAAACAAAACGGCTTAACATTTTATCTATCGATAATAATTTTGGCACGTTTATTTGATTACATCAAAGCACACTTGGGCTATCTGCCCATGGGAAGGGATTCCATGGAGAACTTTCTAAAGGAAACTCGCTTGTACCTAGGTTATACATAGGTAAAACTACTAAATGCTCATGCAGCCAGTCCGTTCGCCTGGAATCAAACCCAGGTCGAACCATCAGTGTTCAGGGACTTTATTGCTCAGCCACTGGTGGTCACATCAATAATTTTTTATCATTCATAAAAGATTTTTATAAAATTCAAAAATAATTTGCCATAATAACAGGCCAAACTTTATATATGAAATGAGAATTTGCATTTTTACAGTCATAAAGAATATACATTCATCATCAATTTCAGAAAAAAGATTTAATTTTTATTGCAAAATAAAACACCACATATTCATAACCAACATATGTTAATAAGAAATCAATCACTAAAGTTATGCACAGTTCTGTGAATCAGAAATATAAATGACTTTTGCAGATGATAGAGTAATTTTAAAATGACTTTGGTATGTTTATGATGGAGTAACTTGCATTTTTATGCCCTTGAAAAGTTCAACTAAATTTGTTATTATTGGTAAAGATGGATTTGTTTATTTTTTAAAAATTCTAACTTTATTTCAAGAATCATTATTTACTGAAGTAATAACTCACAAAAACTTTTGCATTCAAAAAGAATGTATACCAAAGTAATCACTGCATAAGTAAAGGTATTGGAGGAACACATAAAAAGTTATATAACTTTTAAACAACTGATTTCTTTACATTTAAAAATAACAAAATATGGGTATTTGCATCAAACACTTCTGTAACTGGAAATATATGGCTATAACCAATGGTTGTGAAAATAAAAGCAAGGTAAGGACTTTTGTGTACACAGTGTATATTGTTTAAATAATGAGTACAATATTTTGTATTGCTTTAGAATTTGCATTTCTCTGAGCACTCAAGAAGTTCTTATTATTGCTTGCATTTGTAAGTATAATACATTTTGGATCAGCAGAATCATCTCTGAAAGTTACGAATACATTTCTTCAGGAAAGATGAGCATCATTTTCTGAATATTAAATAAAAAAAATAAATAAATAAAAAAAAGACTTTTGTAGATAATAAAATAAAGAGCTGTGATTTGCTGGAATAGCAACACCAATATGATATTCTAATGACTGGTTTGAAAACTGTGCTAGTAGAACATTTAAAATGGAGTAGCTTATATTTTTGTGCTTTTAAAAAATTTTAATAAAACTGTTATTAAGGATGTATTTGTTTATTTTAGAAGTACCTAGTTCTTCTTTCAAGAATCATTACTAAGTAATAATAAAATGTGGGAAGCACAGAAATATGGAATGATGAAGTAAAGTTTACTTAAGTACTAGGATAAAAACTTAGTAATGTTTCAGAATAGTATATGGTCTTTGAAGAATACCAACTAATAAGCTATTGGTAAATAAAATGTTAATTTCAGTACTATCTAATGATAAATAAAAGCTTTTTTTTTTAATGCTTTAAACATAGAGCACACAATTTTCTAACGCTAATAATTAATTGTAAGCATAAGATTACATAATATGCACAAAAATTATACAGCCCAATTATTTTTGCTGTTTCAATCCATCACCTTATGCCATATATTAGATATTCCTTATTTTAAAAATACAAAATGTCAACGACTTCATTCTACTTAGTTATACATACCAAAAAACTATGAAGATCTGCATTTGTAAAACTGTAAAGAAGAATATCTCCTGTCAAAGTCCCCATTGCTATAAGCTGAAGATCAGCAAGGGATGACTGCACACCATTCCTTTTAGGTTTCTTAGATTTTTTCGGTAAATGCTACATATGAAAAAAAAAAAAAAAAAAAAAATATGATAAATAAAACAGATTCTAACAATTTTTCATATAATTATAAGACATAATCCGCAAGCTTCTTAACAAATACACACAGTACAAAATCTGAAATTTGGGTATTTAACATCCTGAATGATCTTTCAGTGAAAGTGAAATGTCACTTCAGATACCTGCTGGCTAGGGAATCACACCATGGTCAATAACATCGACTGATGCTGTATTGATGTTAGCCACAAACCCATTTTTTATTGATTGTGGAGGAGTAGCATTTTTCTATCTTACTGATGAGCTGCAGTGATAAAGTGCAGAGACAACCACATGTCTCAAATGAACATATAAAACAACCTTGAAATAACATTATTGAACAGAACTTTCTGGTAGATCTTATATATAGCAGGAACTTATTTACTTCCTTAATTTGAAGAAATCTGCAGCTGAGGTGCATAGATTGCTTGTAGAAACATATGGTGAGGCTGCCTCAAGTGAGAGAAGTTGTCGTGATTGGTTTCAAAATTTTAAGAACAATGAATTTGATGTTGATGACAGAGAATGGAGTGGAAGGATGAAAGTGCATGAAGATGTGGAACAAAAAGCATTACTGGATGAAGCATCATGCCAAACACAAGTAGAACTTGCTCTTGCATTAAGAATGACTCAGCAAACAATTACACATTGTTTAAAAATAACTGGAAATGATTCAAAAGCAAAGAAATTGGGTTCTGCATGAACTGAAGCCAAGAAACATTGAACATCGATTTTTTACGCATGAAATACTGCTTGCCAGGCACAAGCAAAAGAGTTTTTTTACATCATATAGTCACTGGTGATGAAAAACGGATCCACTATGACACCCCAAAGAAGAAATCATCAGGATCACCTGGACATGCTTCAACATCAACAGCCAAGCCGAATATTGATGGAAAAAAATCATGTTGTGTAGATGATGGAATCAACTATGTATTATGATTTGCTCAAACCAAACGAAACTATTAAAGGAGTTTCTTCAGAACACAGTTGATGAGATTGAGCCAAGCACTCAATGAAAAATACATCCACTACTACCAGACAAAACCTACTGAGAAACACTCAAATGAGAAGTCCCCCCTCTTCCGCTGTATTCACCAGACACTGCTCCCTCTGATTATTACTTGTTACAATTGATGATGCATGGCCTGTCTCAACAGCACTTCACTCATATAAAGATAACAAACTGGGTTGATTTGCAGATAGCCTCGAAAGATGAAGCGTTCTCTCGATGTGGCATCTGTATGCTGCCAGAAAGATGGAAAGTAGTGGCTAGTGATGGGCAACACTTTGAATAAAGCGTTACATGCCATGCTTTCATAATAAATGCCTAATTATTTATTAAAAAAATGCAAAGACTTATTTGTACTCTTGATAATATACGTTTCATTTCTCCTACATTACAGTATTAAGACTACAAAGCTATAAATGTGTTGATCATGCTTCATTTTAAAACACAATATAGCCAAATTAAACATTGCAATTTTAATGCAAATGTTTATACTCAGTTTTACAGTCTAGCATTAAACAAAATTCCTCTGTTTTCAATCTTTATAACAAATTACTAGATTAAATTACCTTTTTACATTTACTAATACAGACATATTTTATTGTTTAAAAATTATAAAATATAAACAAGAAAAAAGTTAAAACATTATAAGAATATTATTGTGCATATCTTTAACTAGGTTTATTGGCCATGTTTAGTTATGTTTCTTATTTCAAACATGCAAAATTTCCCTTGACAATGTTCTTGTCACAATGTTAATTTAATTATTAATATACCACCTTGCTCAGTATAGTGGTTAATAAAGCCAATATATCACTATGCCAATTCTAATCCTAAATAAAGCATGGATTATTATAAAAATACTGTCTTTGTGGCATATTTAAAATATATGTCTTTGTGGTAAATTGAAAGTTCTCTCTAGAGATGTCAGTAAGTAAAGAGGATTATATCTTCTAACTATTCTCTGTCAAAATTTAAATAGAATGGGGAAAAGTTGTGTCATCTGGTGTCCAAGGTTTTGCACAAAAACAATCCATGTTTTCTTCTTGATCACAATGAATTTCACAGAACCTAATCTGATTCGGATCAGCGTACAACTAAACAAACATTAAATGACAGAGTTTGGATAAGAAACTTTATTCTGTGGTATACCTCATATGACACCACACATCTGAATTCTTACTTTTTAATCTATTTTACTATGATAGCTGTAATTTTGACTTACTTTTTTCACATCTTGTTCATATTTACTAACTTTCATCTTATTCTTCATATATCAACCTCACTTTTAATTTTTCATATCCCTTTATATACACATTACATTTTCTTATATCCTTTATATTATATCATTTAAAAAAAGTACATCAACCTAATGTTTAAAATTAAACAAAGTTTAGCCTTAGACTGGCATTGATTTCATATAAAAATAATGAGCATTTCTGAAAGAACTTGCAACATTTCCTTTTCTTCAGAAAGCTGCTCGATGAAGAAACGAAACATACAAAGGGTGCTTACACACATTTAGACAATCCTGATAAAGAATTTTAAAAAAGTAAATGGTTTGGAATAAAAATTTCTGGCAACAGCTTATTTTTTTAAATCAGAAATAGCATCTGCTACTTTTAAATTTGTTCTCTTCCAAAATGTTGCCTGTAAGCAAGCTATGGATTGAAGGATAAGTTTCTGCACTTTCTGAATAGAAATATTCCTATATCCATAATTTAAAAACATTGTTAAATGTGTGGTATTAAAATTTCTTAAATGCAAAATAAGCATTGTTATTGATCAGAAATAGAAAAATCATCAATCATTACTTCTACATGTTAAAGGAGGCTCCAAACGAATACCTCAAAAAAGTACATACTGTTTCTAATGTTAAATCATTGGTGACAAGAAAATCTGCCAGTGCAGAAAACAGCTGCAAAATCTAAATGCATTTGCAGCAACAATAAATAAAATAATAAATTAAGATTTACAACTTTTAAAAGTTAAAAATCATAAGGTTCAGCTTCTGTTGAGGCAGGTTGCTCAATGCAGAATAATTTGTAGAACCCTGTATGAAAACTATTTAGCTGCAGATAAATGGAAATATATTATGATCCTTTATGAAGTATGGGTTTACCTAATGACCGCAACATAAAAGAGTCTATATTTATTATCAAAAAAAAGAAAAAAGTGTACAGACCTTATTCCAGCAATATAAAGAAAATTTCAAAACCTTGTCTATATACCAGCAATATAAAGAAAATTTCAAAATCTGTCCTAGGATTCTTTTACAGTGGGCACTTAAAAATAGAAGGGTGCGAAAAAATGTTAAAAATCACTCAACAACATACTATCAAGAGAAAATTTTACTTCCAATATTTAGAGAAGAAATTCCATTTCTTTATCCGAATAACTTTCAGAGAGTGCAACTAGCAACAAGTCAGACTTCTAAAAGTACCACTGCATTCCTTGAAAAAATTAATATTGATGCAAGTAAAGTCCCCTGACGTTTCAACTATAAACTATTGTGCCTTGCAAAGAATTCTTTCTGGGCTGAACCATGACTTTTTGTTAGGCTATCCAATTTTACTTGAAGTTTTGTTTAAATCACTATGACTACAAACTTAAAGCATGTAATTGTTCCAATTTATTACTGTTTTGTTGGCCAGATTAATCTGAACATATTGTGTCTATTAATACAAACTTTTTTTATGATAAGGTCCCACAACATTGAAATATTTTATTGCTTGCTGTTCTACAGAAGGGAAGTTCCAAAATTTACTTTTATTGCCCCCCCCCAAATGTAAGAAAAGGATATAGCAATAAAACTTAATTTATAAAACAAAAGATGGCTGTCTTACAGCAGAATTTAAGGGTGGTAAAAATTTTAGAATTTAGAGAAGTAATGAACATCAAAATTTATAGATGGTAAAATTTTTAGAATATAGCTGAGGCACTGAATAGGAGAATTTAGGGACAACAAAATTTTCAGAATTTAAGGAAGGATGGGGCAGCAAATTTAAGATCCACAAAAATTACAAAGGGTAGCAAAATATCAAGTGGTGGCTTTGCACTAATCCATAACTGGGGCTATATTACGATGCTTGGCAACAGCTCCACAGTCGTCGGTTTGTGTGTGATTATGGCAAAGCCTCGAGCGCTATCTGGAAAGATATAAAGGAAGAGATGCCTTCATGGAGGACTTTCTAAGGGAAACTGGCTCATATACACGTTAAACATGGGGAAAACCACGAAAACGCCCATCCAGCCAGCCCGTTTGTGGGATTCGAACCTCGTACCGAACTACCAGCGTTCAACAACTTTACCACTCCACAGTCGTCGGGATAATAAGTAAGTACCCACAAAGTTAATTTAGTTTAATCATAAATATTTAATGTAATATTATATCATGTGAGCAAATAAGTGATCCTCAAACCATGTTAAAAAAAGAAAAAACAAATCATAAAATATGGCTTTATATTTAAAGTGATGGCCTTTTAGATATAAAACGTATGAAAGATTTTTAAATAAAATTAAATGTATAGACATGATAAGTGGTCACAAATTGATGAATTTGTATCAAATCATTTAGTAAGCTATAAAGTCAAAATGCTGGCAAAAGATAAGATATCCAATATATTTCAATTTTAACTCTGGTATGTCCCTTGAAGATATGATCTATTTTAAAGAAAACACACTTTTATTAGGCATTTCCTGTTCAGATATTTAAAAAAGTACAAGAAAAGCTGAATATTTTCTGAAAATCAACTATTAACAACTAAAAAAAAAAAAAAAAAATTCAAAGAGTAAGCACTGAAAATTTTTCCTTTCATTTAACGGAAACAAACATGAACTGAGCTTGACATATCTAGCATTATGCACTAAACATAACTAACGATAAACACTACAATATCATGCACACTCCAAAAACCACGTGCTACGTTTCAAATACAAATTGGTAGAATTTTTATTGCATTAAACACATCTGAAAAAAAAATTCACAGCGTTTAGTTACTTCCCATAAAACTTTTATTAAATGACACGTAAGTGTTTTACATAAATAACAACTTACAGCATTTTGTTTACATGGGCCCCATGAAAGCGACGAACACGTTGCCGATAAATGTGAACTCGGTGTATATTCTTGTTTTAAAATATTTGTAGATGTTTCCCATATTTTTAAGCAACCATCTGGGCTCGAATATGCAAAATACTGTCCATCAGATGAAAAATTAGTTAAGTTCCGGTAAAAAGACATTTTACAAGCTTTGATTAAAAAATATATCGCATTGTTGTTATTACTTCTATTGCCAGATGTGAAAACAAAACACTTTCGGCAGCCATAATTACTGAGAAGAACGAAGAAAATAAAATAGATTCCTCTGTAAGGCCTCTCATAACATCACAATTTTTAATTACTTATTTCTAGGATGATCATCGTAAGTAAATGTCTTATTTCAAGCCGTACGTTAAAATAAAGATAATGCACTGCTTTCTTTTTAAATTTTAAGCTCATGCTTTCATTTAAATTTTAAGAATGTCCTGCTGAATGATGATCAAAAAGTTGTCTACCGTTGAAGGTGCTGATGAAAAATTTAATTTAAATTTATATTATTATGCTCTGATACCTTAGATATAATATTTATTATTCACTTGTTTACTTCTGTTTGAACTTCAATAATTCACATAATATCAAAAGGCCAATAGCCATTCTAAATATCCAAACAATTACGTAAAATATGCATGTATACGTTGTATTAAGTTATTACGTACTTTTCTGTATGTTATTATATGCTTTATGATATGTATTTATGGCACTAGTCCGTTACGATTGCGCAACAACTAACGCTGATGGCTTACGGAAGTTAGTGGGTGACACGTGATCGGTGGCAACGATACGTCATAAAATACTTGTTTGGGTTACTATAATTGGCTTTTAAATTCATTATCTCTAAAATACGGGAAATACAATGAAAAATGGAAAATAAAATAACCTGGAACATTACTTCCTATCCCCGTAGGTTAAAACATCTCCGAGCCATTACTTCTGTCGCCTTAACTATAAAATTTTCTTGCTGTTTGATATCGTGGACCCCAGTGACACTATTGTCAACATAAAACGAATGCTTTAATTTTTGGGTCACATCGTCAAACTCGGCAGGGGAATTATCCAAGAGATGCTCTATCGACGCAGAGAGTTAGAACGGAGACGAACAAACGCCGAACACCACTCTGCAGTGTCTGTAAATCATAGGTTCTTCAAGAGTTGGAAGAAAAAACCTCAAATAATCTCTATGTTCTGGGAAAATATTCAGCTGAAGAAATGCTTTCTCTATATCCGATGATAAACCAACGGAATACAATGTAAACCTGTCATTTATATGAGGTATGAGTTCAATTAAATTTGGCTTTCTATTTAAACAATCATTTAGGGATGGCTGATTTCTCTCTCGGGCTGAAGCGTCGAACACCGTCCTTACCTTCATTGCCTGGCTAGTTTGCTTTATAACAGGTCTATGGGGCAAATAATAAATCAAATTATCAATTTCAGTTTCAGGAACGTTTTCTATTACTTTTAGGTCTTTTCATTGCTTAAAAACTACCTTGTAGTCATCCTCATTAATTCGGTGACACATTCTTTGATGCCTTTTAAAAGTCATAGACTTATTGTTAGGTAACAGAATTTCAGATTTAAAGGGTAGTGGCAATTCATATCGGCCATCAGGAAGAGCATTTAAATTCTCTTTAAATTGCTTAACGGTGTCAGAGTGAGTAAGTTTACGTTTAACATCTTCAGTTGGGTCTGTTATGCCAATGGCATCTAAATTCCAGAGTTCGGTTACGCTAAGATTAGCCCAATGCAACGAAATTACATTATAGCACAAATTATTTTCTAGTAATGTTGGAATAGTAGCTGAAGTAGGTTTTTTAGATAAGCTGTTTACTTTACCAATCACAGTGTCCGAATTTAGTCTCAACTACAGTTACACCAGAGTTCAGTTTCAGAGAGCTGCCAGTAATAATGTCCCCAATGGCATCTGCTCCTAAAAGCAACTCAATGTCATATTCTTTAGCTTGCAAATCAGACAACGTAATATTTAATTCGTTTAATTCTTTCAGGGTATTGTGATCAACTACTTTTCGAACACATCCACATATTTTGTTTTGAGAAAGTACTTCAAAGTTATGGTCATACGTGCCCTCAAAATGTTTTAAATTAACATCAAACACTAAATGGGAATAAGGGGCTCTAAAGACATTTTGTGAGCAGAAAAACATTCGACAGAATTGTGGGATTTCTCACAAAGAATATAACTTAAATTTCGCCTACCTGTATTGTCTTGAACGTTTACCAAAACAGCAGCTCTACAGCAACCAGGAGCATTAGCATGTGGATACGAATGTGCAGAATGTGAAGCTCCTAACCCGGTACGAGCGAGCTTAATCATTTCCTCACTTTGCACTTCGTTTCGAAGGAAACACAAAGGTTTATCCAAAGAACGCGCACTATCTTGCTGTGACGCAATATCTTCTATCGAGCGGCTTCTTTCCCATGCACGAAGAACAGTCTGTGGTAAACAGGACTTAACAAGTGGTTCCAAAAATTCTGCAAATCTTTCCTTAGTTCTACCGAGGCTTTCGAGTGCCATAAGATTGCTCTCAAGTAAATTATAAAGTTCAGCTAAATCTCCTTTTATCCTAACAGCAGCATTTTTCATTACTATGGAAAGTAGATCCCGTACATAAATCTGAACCAAAAGTTCATCACTGCCGAAGCGTTCGTTAAGTTGTGCAATCACCTTTGAATAGTTTTCTTTAGTTGGTGGAAATTTTGTTACCAGTCTTTACGCTTTAGAATCTGCTACCAAACATTGTAACAGATATTGAAATTTGTCTTCATCTACAATAGAATCATCTTTGTGAATTTTTTCAAACTGGGACCAAAAGGCAAGAAATTCTTTCGATTCTCCACTAAATTTCCTCAAGTCAAGTTTCGAAAGTTGAATATTTTTTTTTTTTTTTTTTTTTTTCTCTGTTGCTGTTTCTTCCATAACCGAATTTCCCTTCTTTGCATTTTCTAACAGCGAACAAATTAAGCAGAACTTGTCTCGGTATACTTCTGCTTTCAAAAAATCCTCAGAATATTCTTCTTGAAGGGCATCGTCACTTAGCAACAAATTCGAAACTTCTTGAGTTTTTTCCAAACGTGTGTGAATTTGTCGAAACAACGTACAACGTCACTTTCTAAGCTTTTGTTTTTAATCTTCTGAGCTATATCGTTGCAGCATACCGTAAATGCTGTTCTCAGCGACTTTCGTTTTGCTTTCAAGGCTCTTATATCCATATTTCATCAAAAAATATCCTGTCGCGGGCGCCAGATTTACTATGTTGCAACTCTCAGGGCTACAACGTGCAGGTTACAAATTAAATAATCACAGCAGGGATTATTAATATAAAGATTTTAATATGGATATCTCACACAAGTTGAAAACGTTACATTACTCTAAGAACTGCATACAGGGAATTTTCCCGCTGAGTTCGCAGTTAAAGAAAAAATAAGAATAATAAAAATAGTTCATTAAAATGCGGCGCTCCTTCTGTCGACGTCGCCCAGCCGTTACGTAATCGTCTGTCTGCAGCAGCCGTCTCCAACAATCTACATACCTCCTAATAATAGTCCAATCATTTCTGAAATTGAACAGCTACTGGATTTTAACTCTCCTGCTTTAATTGGAGGAGATTTTGACGCTAAATATCAATTCTAGAATCAAGGAGAAAAAGGTCGAAAAATTGTTAGCATGATTCAAAATAAAAATTATACTATTCATGCCTCTGATATAAACCTACGCATTACGGCTATAATAGTTCTTCTATTATTGACTTTTTTCTATCTAACAACCTCGACTATAACTGCCAAATTTCTGTTATTCCAGCTCTCTTATCTGACCATAATTCCATTCTTCTTGAAATCAGCATAAATAGTTGCTTACATTCACCGGGCAAGAGTATTGGCGTTACGGACTCTTAAAAATCACAAAAATCATTTCAGATACCATTCCTGGAAATTCCAAAATTATCAATGAAGAAGATATTGAGTCTGAAATCAAGAAGTTTAGAACCTATATTCCTCATGCTATCAATTTCTCAACCAATAAATTCATCAGTTCCCATTCTTTTCTTCCTCTTCCAGCCCGCATAAAACAAATAATCAAATGCAAAAACCGTATTAAGAAAAATTGGCAAAATACAAACGACCCAAGGATGATAACGCAACTAAACGCTCTTCAACGTCACATCAAAAAGAACATTAGTAACTTCAAGACTCAAAGCTAGCGAAACGTCCTCAACTCTCTCGCAACTGAAGATAATTCTCTTTTAGACATTGCAAAGAAATTTAAAAAAACCCTTCAAGCTAATTCAGCCACTTCATGGTACCAATGGAAGGATTTATTCAGACGAAGATAAAGCCAACACCTTTGCAGATATACTTGAAGAAACGTTTACTCCAAATATTACCCCCTACGAAAACAATCATATCTCCAAAGTTAATGATACTGTTAATACCTTAAAAATCCCAGGTCCTTTGAACTTTACATTCCTCGCCACGCCTAAGCTGGTTGCCGATTATATTAGCTCCTTAAAACTCAAAAAAGCTCCAGGTGTTGAGGTATTTCTACCAAAGTACTGAAACATCTTCCTATCAATGCCATCACTTGTCTTACTAAGATAATCAACTCTATCATCAAATACTCTTACTTTCCTAATATACGGAAACATGCCGTCATCGTCATCTTCCCAAAACCGCATCAAAATTCAAAGTTTCCACAGAATTACCGCCCAATCAGCCTTCTCAGTCAACTTTCTAAAATAGCTGAAAAAATTATTCTATATCGTCTTAATTAAATTATTCCACAGAGCTCCTACATTCGAGAAGAATAATTTGCCTTCCGTCATCTAAACAGTACTAATCACCAGCTGCTTCGTATCATCAACTATATTACTGACGGTTTCAATTGTAAGTTCCCTACCGGAGCCATTTTCCTTGATATTGCGAAAGCTTTTGATAGCGTATGGCACCGGGGACTTATCAAGTTAAACTTTCCCTATCATTCTATTAGACTTATTGCTTCTTATTGCCAATACAGAATCTTTCCAGTGAAAATTAGCAGTTCTGTTTCTACCACGATACACGAAATTAAGATCTATTGGAGTGCTATTTGGCTGAAATTCCTCTTCCAGGTGATTAGCCAGTACTTGTGCTTTATCTTTGTTATTAAGAGCTATCGAGTTGTCAGTGAAAATTGCCCATTACTACTAGGCTT